TGCAGATTTTTCTCACTTCTGTATAATTAGTATAATTATTTCATATCTAAACATTTATCTCTGTTTTTTCACATTATTATGAAAACCCATACTCTCGTGCTTTTCGACAATGCCATGCTGATTTCAGCGTAGTTGAAAATTAGGGCTAGTAAATTCAAGCAGTTAAGGTTCTGGCTAATTCAGGGCAGTGTTAACATAATTAACAGACATTAAGGCATATGACCTTGTTTCACATGACTGAAGTTTACATAATGCAGTCTGAGCAGTAGACGGAGCAAAATTAAGTAATTTTTCTTATTTCATGCAAAATAACTTACTATGACTAGCTACCACATGTAAAAAGCATGTCTTAGGTCAGTTACCGAGAATATATAATGGAATTGGCTTTTCTTGTTTTTCTGTTGCTTGCTACTTCATTTATTTATCCTGTCAAGTTCCTGGTTTACTTCAGTCAGGTTCACAAGGACTTCTAGGCTGCAAGAAGGTTCACAAGGACTTGTAGGTGTATTTGGGTTGCAATAGGAAGGGGTTTTTTAAAAATAGGGTTCCTATTGAAACCCCCCCAACTATTCCTGTTTACAAAAAGCCAAAATATTTAATTACATTAGTTTTGAGAAGCTTATGACTTGTGTGAGTATTTGAGAGAGAGAGAAAATATAGCTAGAAATAGCTATAAAAATCTGTGTTTCCTAAGCCTTTAATGTATTCAACCTCTGCCCGGTATTGATTATGACAAGAGGATATCACAAAAGATGAATTAATTCGCTTCAGAATTCAGTCAGGAACAAGAGAATAATTATAGATTTTCTCAAACAGATTATGACAGGTAGTCAAAATGGTGACAAATTGCTGTCCATAGACGTAGTTAGGGCAGTTGGACTAGACGTTTCCGATAAAAACTGGAGCATAATGGTCAAATACCAATTCTTAAATGGCCATCATTAATTGGTAAGAGCGTTATTGCCAGCACTACAGCTGCCTACTGAGGCGCTTGCCCTTCCCCCTCTCCCCCCTCCCCGATGGAATATAATTTGCTCGTCAGTATGTTGTAGCAGCCCTCAAAGTGATAGCATGACATGATCATTTATCAAACGGAGACTGCCCAGAAGAGTGTCTGGTCCCTTTAGTACAGCTTATTGAAAGGCTGGGAAGTGAAAGCACTTTATTAGAGACAGGAAGGCAATGAACAACTAGAGCGTATCGAAAGGGTAATCATATTTCAGCACAGGATTAGTGTGCTCTTAGATAAACATACACTGGAGTAAGCATGTTCTGGGTCATTTATCAAGTAAGTAACAGCTAACAAAAATCTACAGGACTCTGTGTGTACATTCATCAAAGTTAAACTGTGTACATTTTATTTCAGTAATAGACAATTTTGTGTTGCAAAACTATTACTTGAAAAAAATCTTTCTAGTGAAAACTAGAGCACCTTACAGATTTCAGTGACAATGCCTGAATGCTCAGGTAAGAATAAATAAATATGCTTACTAAATGCCATTTCTATTTTAAGAAGCGTAGCCTAAAATATTTTTCCCCTAAATTGTAGTGTTTGTGATTAAGTGTTGGCACCTAAACTGTGGCTGTTATCATACTGCTGTTCTGATACATGCTGATAAAGCTTTGCTGTGTAATGTAAGGAGATTTGTCACCTTTTCTTCATGTGGACTGGTCCTCAGAGTTTCTTGCATTGTTTTATCAGTCTTGCTCCTCACAGAACCAGACTTTTGCTCTCTATTTTTCTGAAAAGATGATATCATCACTGGATAACAATAGATGATAGATGATATTACCGTCATCATCGATAGATGAAAAATGATATGGTTTGGAGGTGTGAGGCTGTGCTGCCACTTCCTCTTCCATGTGATTTTTCTAAACATGTATTATAACCCATAGAATATTCCCAGGAGTATTTTCTGCCAAGGGAGTAGAGCCTCCAAAACCGGAATTCTCCCTGCTTGCATTACCCAGGGGGTTTTCTAGATTTGAAGGAGCTACGAGATACCTACATTGCGAGATACTTTGGCAGCAAGCTATGAAATTCTACAGACTTTGCAGTTTAGAATGTCACATCATGCTTAGTGGATTTTTTCCAAATTGTACAACTGTAGGACATGAATTCTCTCTCCTATGGTACTTACATATTTGTTTTGAATCCCTGGTTAAGCTTTTCACACATACAAGGAAGCCTATCAAGAATGACAGTTAAGTTGTGAAAAGAAAGTATTTCAGAAAGTAGGGTATTATCTGAGTAGAAAGGACCAATCTACTAAGCTTCGCGTCCTTTTAACTTGAATTTATTGTATTGAAAAGACAGCAGAAGTTTTATCTAGGTCATACTGCCCTTGGGTAACCAGACAGAAACCCAGATGGAGAAAGGTATATTTCAAAAATTTCACTATTTGGGCCAATACTGTAACTGGCCACCCACAGTTATGTAGGGAGGGATTACTGTTTCTCCTGTAAAATACAGTTTTACATATATATAAAGAGAAGGGCAGTCTACTGTAGTTTGTACAATTTTTAGCTTTTTCTTAGAGCCTGTTCTTTCTCTGTAAAATATTTATTCTTCCACATATTTTCAAAATCTAAACAGACACTAGTACTCTAAGGGCTCTGTGAGACCGTGGGGATGAGTTAACAGAGATTACATATCATACAAATCTTTTGGCTGGTTCCTCAGCTTTAGGTGCTTATTAGTGGGACTGCAGTGGTTATTTTCCATAGCTGGCATTACTGTATCCTTAAAAATGCAGAGTTTTCCAACTCCATCACCATTTCTCGTGTGCAGTTATGATATACACAGGGACTGCTATGCACCATCCTATTTGAAAATAGACATTCTTAATGTGCATATTAATACATGAATAGTCTCACTGAAGTTATTTCTGTGTGCGGCATTTGGGCCTGGCTGAACAAATCATGTTACTATTGAATTTTACTCTGGAGGAGGAAAAATAATCAGTGTTCTGGTCTTGTATCAATTGCAGGATTTGGAGGTTGTATTAAACAAATGGACAAAGCTACGCAGAATGGATCTTACAGGAAACCCCTTGTGCCACAAGCCGAAGTACAGGGACAGGATTGTGGTACAGTCACGAACTCTGGGTAAAAACTAATACACATGGCCAGCCCGAAGCCCCACCCGTAACCCTCCCTGGCTTAGAAAATAACTGATACATTAATCCTTCTCGAATTTTGCTATGTATGTAAAGACAAATACTGCCATATTTATTATGTCAAACGATGAACTTTTAATTTATGTACAGGTAATGTAACTAAAACTGCTTATGTAATCAACTCTGTTGCTCAGCTTTTGCTATTAGTAGTAGTAATCATTATTTTTAGTAACTGATGATTAGTGAGATTGTTACAAGACACTAAGACTTTTCTGTGTTCATATTCTAGGTGTTGCGAAACTGATTTTCAAAGATAGGTTTAGTCTACTCCCCTAGCAGACTGTAGTAGTTGCTTAGGTGTTTGAGTTGTATGGTTACAGTTGTACAGGTCATACCTTGCTGTGTTTGAATTTGTCATGTATCATTTGTTGTAAAACATAAAAGCAGTTTACACTTACAGTATGAGTGTATTTGTTGACCTTAACTTTACTGTGATACAGTTTAAGTTATTATTTTGAGATATTTTAGCAGAATAGGAAGCAACTTAGTCTTCCGTATTCATGTATTCATAGTGTAGAAACAAGTAAAAAAGTATCTGTTCATTTTCTACTTTCTTGGATAAAGATGCCAGTTGTCTTAAAAGTTTCAATTACAAAATTTGTTTTTCTTTTTTTTGAGAGTACAAAATATTGGCCATTAAGAGAAAGAAAAATCCTCCCTGCACAATAAAAATAACAGGGTTTTAGGACAATCCTAATACAACCTAAATTTGTGGCCAAATGAGGTGATTCATTTGGTCTGGCTCAAAAATGCAGATGCAACTAAGCCAGCAGAGAGGATAAGCCTTATGGCATTAATGTGAGTGAAGTTCATCTTACAGAGTCATATCTGTCTGTCTGTCTTCATGATCGATAGGATTCCTTGATTGCTAAGCCGTGCAGGTTCTCTCTTACCCAGAATTTCTGCATCTATATATATCTTGTGTAAGAGCATACCTTTTCTTCAGAACTTTCTACAAGGTGTTGCATGTTAACTGAATGTGTGTATATATATATTTCCCTTGAAAGCTGCAAAAATAGTAGATGCTTTGTTTTGTAATTAAGACATGTCAACTCACTTTTGCAGCTAATTAAAATATGACTATCTAGGTGTATTGAGTATTGTTTTGCCAAAAAACTAAAAAGGGTTTGAAGACAGCAAATATAGACCAGTACACATTACATACAGCCTTCTACAGACTTTTAGTTAACTCTGAGTATCACAGAAAATGTTCTCTTCTCTTTGACAGAATCCCTTGATGGGAAAGAAATTAAAGAAATAGAAAGACAGTTCCTAGTGAATTGGAAAGCCTCCAAAGCTGCCAGGAGAAAAAACAAAGAAAGAATGACAAATGAGCATGCAGTCCATCTACATTGTTGTAAGTAAACTAATCAATTACTTCATGACTATTTGAAATATTATGGAAATGATAAAATAGCAGCTAACAGTAAATATGCTAGGAATGAGACTTGTACTGGTGGTGAGACCAAAACACAAGAGTAGAAATTGGACTTTTCCAACACAGAGTTTAATTTTAACACTAGTTCATATGGTGTTTTTTTCCTCCCGTCCCAATCTCCCAGAATTATGGAAAGGAGCAGCTAGTACATTTTGAATGTTTGTAAATATTCATGATTACTTTTCATATATTTAAAAAAAAAAAAGTGTTCAGCATTCTAGAATAAATATGCATTAAGTACATCAGACTTTTAGAATCTATTTGTTGATACTTATTTGAGCTGTGTAAATTGCCAGTCCTTTTAACAGCCTTCACAAGGTGCATGTCTAGCTGAAGTAGAAGTTTTAAACTTGGAAAGAAAAAAAAGGTCTTTGAAGGAAAAAAGCCTTAAACCTAAAAGAAAAAGCAACGGGTTCTTGAAGAGGGAAAACAAATCAGTCTTGAAACTCAAGGAAACCCCGAATTAGACTTTCAGATTTTAAAAAATGGTGGGGTAGGGGTTGTTCTTGCTGTAGATTTGACTGCAGCTTAAAACGTAAACGACTTAACAGCATGTCTTGCTGTCTTGCAGGATTTGGAAACAGGCGTTAGACTTCAAATTACTCAAAATGGTTTGAATAACCATATTTATAGAATAAAATTGGTGGCAGTTACGCTGTTGTTTTCAGAAGAAAAACTGTGATAGGTAACTTGGGGGAGAGAGCATGTTCTTTGTAGCCATACTACCTCAAATTATTAATTCCTAAAATCTCATGAAGATCAGTTCTTTCTGAAGACATGAAGTGAAAAGCACTCAGCCTGTCAGCCTGAGCCCCCAGAAAGTTGCAGTCTGATCAGTGTTTGGAAGCCATGTATGAATGGCAATGGTTCTGAAAGTAATATTCTGTCTTCTGAGTAACTACTGGTGTAAGAAGGTGCTATGTAATTGAATTTACTCCCTCTCAAATAACTCTACCTGAACGGGAGTACCTGCTTTAATATTCATCAGTGTTTGCAGCACTTTCTGCAATTTCATACAAGGGTTTCCATTCTCAGTTATCAAATTTGAGGCATTTTACCCTAAGGCTTATGACACTGTTTTCTATAACAAGATATATTGGAACCTGTGATCAATCATACTGAATAGTACAATAGATATGGTTTGACTTGGGATATTGAGTTAATCCTTTTTTCTTTATTTTCTGCAGCTGACTTTGAAATACTTTATCCTACTCTTCCTTTTCACTACAGTCCATCTGTGAAACAAAATCCAAATTTTTTACTTTTGTCTGAGATGCACAGAGTCGAAAGAAAACCTCTGCCAAGAATCCTAGAAAAAAAATTGTCATATGAAAACTCAGGTGTGTTCCTTAGACATCTTCCTCTTAGTTCTGTTGGTTATTGCTTGTACAGCTCTTACTGGATCAGTTGGAAAACAAGTACTTGAATGTAGAATTTAATCTGAAATCAGTTTCAGGTTTTTTTAACCATATTATATTTGCTGTCTTTCAAAGAAATAAAGACAGGATAATAGATTTCAGTTTCTGGTTATAAATCAGTAGACTAGCTATTAGTAATAACTTTACCCCAGTGTTTCTGTCATATGCATTTGATTGTCATCTTCCACAAAAGGGAAATAATATCAACTTTAAGTCTTGGAAGTACAGTTACTGTCAATAACATTGGTGAAGGTTGATCCCATGCACACAGGAATATGCAGAAGGAGAAACAATCGCTTTTCATCATTGTAGCGTACCTCTAATAAACATGTTCCAGTGTATTATGTACTTGATTAGCCTTTTCCTGTAGCATGAGCTCAAGACCATCAAAATAATCAAGAAAGAAAATCTGATGTGTGTGCCTTACAGACATTTAGACATTAGCTGAATTTAAACAATTTAGAGTTTAGCATACGTATTCCTTACTCACATAAGAAGCCTTGTGAACTCTAATGCCAGTGTTTGTGGAAATAAAATCTGCTCATAGGGATTTGCAGTTTGGGACCTATAGTTTTTCCAATTTTACATGTAATAATAGTTTAGTTCAGTATTTTGGACCTAATGTCACTCCTTCCAGATTTTTAATGCTACTTTTAACCCGCCCGTTTTATTATTTATCAGCTGTACTGGCCAACAAAAAAAAAAATCATAATTTATGCAAAGCTGTAGATTAAACAAATAAATAAATAAATTCAACTGACACAGGGATTCTTTTGTAACTAAATACTACATGTAGTGTTTTATTTTACATTCAAATCAGAATTTATTAGTATGTTTGAAAATTTAACTGAGCAACATTTAATGCTGTTTTATTCTTGACAAGTTAGCACAGAAGGGAAGAAGAATTACAAATCACAGAGCTGCTCTCTTCCAAAGTATCATTTTTGTTCTTCATATGACAATGGATATATTCCAGTCTAAAAAGAAACTGAATTCGTCATATATATGCCCATTCTTGATTTTTGTTCCTCCTGCAGAAGGCACATAGCAGTGGAGAAGTTTAAGAACAAGAACTGCAGGAACGATGTACCAGTTATCACAAAACAGTGCTACTACACGATTGTTTTCCAGAGAATAGGCCAGACTTGTGAAATTCAGAGGCGTACAGCCTAATACTTGTGCCAGAAAAATGTGCATTTTTTTCTTTTAATTCCATTGTAAAATGAGTTCATCCACATGCTCAGTGTTCTGTCAGCTTGCGTTTCAGCTTTATTAGCATTCTGTCTCTTGGGCCAGGCTGAATAAAACTATGCTTTTGATTTGCCATTCCCCTTAGTTCTAATAAAGGATGGAACATGCACGTATCGCACCTCCCAGAAGGTAATTTTCTTCAGTGTAAGAACGTCCGCTATCTCCTTTGAAATAGAGCATTCTGATTCTACTCTACTATGTTAAAAAGCTGTCCAATTGTTGAGATTCTTTGCTTGACAAAAATTGTCGCAGTATTAAGAAGCTGGAATACAATCCTGGCCCTGTTGAAATCCCTTTTGACCCTGGAAAGGCAAAGATTGTATCTTCCATGCTTGGTTGGAATAAAATTTCCGTATTTGTATTAATTTACATTTGCAAATTAAACAATTTGAGTGAATTAAAAAAACTTCTTTTTTTAACTATTAGGCTAGAAGATTTTCCTCTGATTCACAATAGACTACGGTCAGATGACATGCATTTAATAGTTTCAAAAAATTTGCAAGCGGGGCTTTTGTCTTGGACGCTGAAGGTTACCTTACAATTTCACGTGTAATCACTGATCTGGAGGCATATTCTTATCTTGTTACTAGTGGAATTCCAAGGAAACAAAAGAGTCCTGGGAATTAGTTAAAGGTTTTTGAGTTCTTTAAAATGTTTTTTTTGGGGGGGAAAAAAACAAACAGAAATACTCATTCTCAGAGTGTATGGAGATATGAAATAATGACAAATCACAGTATTCCCTTGCCAGATCCAGTAATTAGGGATATGCATAAATGTGCCCACATGTAAAGCGAGGAGATTTTGTCAAACTGAACAAATACCTGTACTGTTTAACTGAAATTCAGTATCAGACCAAAGAAATTAGTGAATTTTAATCCTACTCTCTGTTAGTTAAATGAATTAGTCCAACAGATGTTTCCTCTTTCCC